AGCCGCGGAGGAAGCTCCCGCTCCTTTTCCCCCTCCTCCTCCCCCCCGCCCCGCATTACTGGAAGGACTGTGTGGGAGAGACCCAGAAGCACCCGGATTTTCGAGCGCGGGGTGGGGGAGGGCCGGGCAGCCGCTGGTGCTCAAAGGAAAACCAAAAGTGCATCTGTTCGGGCCGCTCCTTTACGCGGCTGCCCCCGGGAGGGTCCTGGCCACGCCTCGCTTTGCAGCCCCCCCAAGATCTCGCTAAGGCACCTGGGGAGGGGGGAGGCGTGTGGCGCAGGAGGGGACGGAGAGGCGAGTGAGAAAGTGTCACGATTTCTTTTCCTGCGCTCTCCCCGACACCGTCCCCACCCCCAGTTTTCTGGTTTTGCCACTGCCGCTGGGGAAAGGACTGATCGGTTTTGCGTCAAAGAACTGCATTTACTCAGTCCTGCTGGGAGAGGCGCGTAAACACCCAGGCAGGCGGGACTCAGGGATGAAACGACAATAACAACAAACAAAACAATCCCCCCCCCCTCCGCGTCCCCGCGGCCGGTGTGCACATCCGCCGGCCGCACACCTCTCCCCGGCCCGCGGAGTTGGGGACTCTGTCCGGAGCGCGGCGAGCGGAGGTGCGAGGGGTCTGGCCAGCCTCGCCTCGCCGCGCGCGTCCTTGGGGATGGAGCTCAGGACAGAATGTGTTTTATAGCTGTAAACAATGACCCCGAGTATTGTTTGGGATTACCGTATCTTGGGGCCATTGGGGCGGCCAGATGCCGCCAGCCGTCCCGGAAACGCCAGCGCTTTATATAGAGCCCCGGGAAAGCTTTGAGTTCCCGGCTCTATTTTTCTTTCTTAGCAACTCCCCCACTTTACAGATAAGGAAACTGAGGACCGGATCTGTGACGTGTTACAACGCACAGCGCTTCACAGGGTTCACAGTCTTCACACATCTTACCGTCGGGTCCTCACAAGGACCTTGTGGGGTACAGATGGCGCCACTTAAGGGCCGGGGAAACCGAGACTAAAGCAGTGTCTGGACCAGAACCCAAGTTCCTTGACTCCTAGTACAGTGCTCCTCCGGATCGTCTCTGCAGAAGAATTGAAGTTCCAGAGCTGGCAAGGGCCCTAGAGGGTCATCTTTTCCAAGCCCTTCATTTTATAGGAAGAAACCGAAGCCCAGAATGGTTAAGGGACTCGCCCAAAGTCTCACAGCTCATAAACAGCACAGCCTGACGTTCGTACTGCGAGGTCTGTGCTCTTTAACCCGCACCTCGCCCCGCCTCACCAGGCGAGGCGGGAAGACCCAGGAGTCCACGCTCCTTGCTCCCTGAACTTCCCTCCAAAACAGCTGAAGACAACGTTGGGGCACACCCTCTGCCGGGCCTGCCTCCCTCCCTCTCTTTTATTTTTTTTTAATTCTTAACAGTCGAGTTTGCCCGATTACTATTAGATGCGTCCTAATTGTCCCGCACAGAGGGAGGCCGGAATGTCTCGACTGGTTCATTTCTTCTTCAGGGCTACTCCTAACAAATTAATTGTAGGGCCGGGCAAAAAAAAAGTGCGTATGTTCGGGGTTGCGGGGGGGCAGCAGTGGGCAGCCAGCCATGCCGGGAAAAATAGGCAGGTCGGCCCCGCCCGGCGGCGCCGC